TCTCTCGTCTCCCCAGCTCCACCCTGCCATCGGAGGCAGCGATCACCAGGTCATCACAACTCACCTGGAGCACATCTGCCATAACACCAGGCCTCTCCATGCACTAGAGGACCGGATCCCCTTCTTCAAACTGGACTATTCCATCATCTCAGCCAAGATACCGGATCGACTTCCACCTCCAATGGAAGATCTGATCCAGACCTACGATGACTTGACTGAGTCTCTGACCTCTCTTCTCCGTGAAGCTGCACCTCCATCTCGGAGGGTGTGCAGGAAACGGCCCCTGAAACCTTGGGTCACAAACGACATTCTGTCAAATATCACGAAGAAGAAACGTCTCTGGGAGGTGTATAAACGGACCAAAACTCCAGCTGCTTACCAGAACTACCGGGCACATTCCAACAGTCTTTCGAACATCATCAGGCTTGCCAGGAAGCAGTATGGGACCGGGATTGCAGCGAAGGGTGGCAAACTCCTCTATGCATACTTGAGCCGAGCATCCACCTCTCATAGTCCAGTCCCTAACGCCATGAAGAAGGGTGATCTGGAGATCACAAATCCCTCAGACATCGCTGAGCTCTTCGCCGACACCTTCGCCGAGGTTTATACAACCGAACCTCCCGGCCCGCTACCTTCCCTTGACTACCCTCCTCAGGATGACCATCTTTCCGACATCGATTTCTCCGTCAGAGACGTCGAGGAAGTCCTTCGCTCCTTGGACAGCTCTGCCTGCAGTGGCCCAGACGACATTCCATCTGTCGTTCTTAAGAACTGTGCGGAAACCCTCGCACCTTTTCTTCACACACTCTTCAGTCAGTCTCTGGACAAAGGTACCATCCCGGAAAACTGGAGGAGGGCCACGGTCACTCCGATCTTCAAGAAAGGTAGCAGGCACTTGGCGAGCAATTACAGGCCTATTAGCCTCACCAGCGCCACCTGTAAAGTCCTGGCGCGCCTGCTTGCAAAGGAAATCCTAGAGTTTGCCTTGCAGAAGGGAATCATTCCCTCCCAACAACACGGTTTTGTACCTGGGCGCTCGATCAGCTCCAACATGCTTCTTCTGGACGATTGGTCCAAAGCGGTGGACTCTGGGATTCCTGTGGACATTGTCTACCTCGATTTCTCGAAGGCTTTTGACAAGGTTGCACAACGACGGCTGCTCTAGAAGCTACACCATTTGGGAATCAGGGGCAAACTTCTTGCCTGGATCGAGGCCTACATGCGTGACAGGACCTTCCAGACAAGGATTGGTGACCGTCTCTCCACCTCTAGGTCGGCTCCGAGTGGGGTTCCCCAGGGCTCTGTTCTTGGTCCCCTGCTTTTTAATCTTTACTCATCCGACTTGCACGTGCGAACAACATCCCAGCACCAGGCATACGCGGATGATAATAAGATTTATGGGAACCCACTGACCCCCGGTGACTCCATCCAGCAGGACCTTGGCAACCTGGCTCTGTGGTCCCACGATTGGATGATCCCGCTCAACCCGGGGAAGTGCACTGTCCTACACCTAGGAAAGAAGAAAAACCCACACAGGGTATACCATCTTGGAATCCTGGCGCTGGCTCCTGTTACCTCTCAGGTAGATCTAGGCATCATCGTGTCTGATGATCTTAAATGGGACCTACAAACCACCGCCGTATTAAAGAAAACCAACTACTTCCTCTATCGTGTCCGCAAAGCCGTTGTGGAGGTGGACATCCCGCTCCTACGGAATGTACTGACCACCTACGTACTTCCGATGGTCGAGTACGGGTCCACTGTCTGGGCTCCGTACCTCCAGAAGGACATCAAGGCTCTGGAGGGTATCCTGAGACGCGCTTCGAAGATACTCAGAGCACTGAAGTCCTTGCCATACGAGGAGCGCCTGAGACGGCTTGGGCTGCAAAGCCTGGCAGACAGGCGCCTTTTTGCTGACCTCACGGAGACCTATCGTATCCTCCACGGTCTGTACCGTGCCTCCGACCTGCAGAAGATCTTCCTCAGGTCGACGTCGCAACGGGGTCACAATCTGAGGTTGAACGTGTCGCGTTTCAAAACGCAACACCGAGAGTACCACCTGGGCAACAGGGTTATCTCCACATGGAATTCTCTTCCGGCGAGCATAGCCCAGGCCCCGAGCATCGATGTCTTCAAGGCGTCTTTGCACCGTCACCTGTTTGGATCTACGAGATGAGCTGCCAGGACCCCCCCTCTCAAATGATCTCCTACACAGTTTTTTTACTATAATTTGTATTTTCTGAAATGTAGACTACTATACCAGTTTGTAACTGCTGCCTACTTCAAATAAATAAATCGTTGAACCATTCCATCAGACTGTGGATCTAAGGCCATACTCTTCGTTTCTGTAATACCCATTCATTCGCAGTGCATGTCGAATATTTTCTGGACCAGTTTTCCACATTGGTTCTAATTCGTAAGTATTAAAATCGCTCGCGTATTCTTCTTAGTCTTCGTAACGCCGAAATGTCCTTCGACATGGATTACTTCTAAGACTACTTGAAGTTTGTTTCTGATTTTATGTTGACTCTTTCATATTTTCAACACGCCGTAGTCTAAAGTAAGGGAAATTTATTGGATCCAATCACTTTTTGTTTTCTGGCTTAGGTACCTCACATCTGCCTACGATGGTGTTGAAGTTCAAGCTTCCTTCCAATATGTATGTTCGTCTTTCCTTTGATCTTCCATTAATTAGATATGTTCTCAGGATCCGTCAGGCTGAACAGTTCTTAGATTAAGTGGAATTTCCGTCCATACAGGTACCTATGGAAATGTTCGAAGATTTTAACTACAGTCAATTTCAAGAGTGTTTTATTATCCGATAAACTTTTCCTTTTAGGATTTAGAAGATAGGACTCAAATTGTTGGAAAGTGTCGTTACTTCTTTGGTTACGGTTTTTCAGTTACTTCTGATGTACTTCCTGGAGATATTTATCGCCGTATCTCATTTCTAAGCTTTTAACAAGATGGTGAAATTCATAATATAGGAAGTCGAGCATTCCTTGAATTATATATCTAGCACCTCTCCTCGTAGAGAAATTATTAGTGGTATTGCTTTTTTTTCCATACGTTTGCCTCTGCCGTTGTTATAAACTGCTTTTGCATCGGAATCGTCATGCGTTTCAGTGGTGTGTAGGTTTTCTCATTTCGTGCTCCATTTCTTCTATGATGGTGCTTTATGAAATTTTTCGATGAGGTCAGATTCTTTCTTTTCTCTTCAAGAGCTTTCCAACGATATATACTTAGTTTGTTGAGGTTAATCGTATCGTTAGAAACTTCCAGAAAGTTGACCGGTGGAACGTTCTGGAATATCCGATGGTACTTTTCAAAATCCTCCTCCTTCTTCAATTCCCTTCAACCCCACTTCTGACACCGAATGTCACGTAATATCTTTCTGACTACTCACTAATTTATGAATGAATACCACCATTATAAATTAATAATTATTAATTCACCACTATATTGCGCACTTTAATTTTTTAGGACTGACGAACTTATGATAATTATGATACACAAATATTAAAGTCAGTGGCGGACTAACAGGGGGGCCCCACCGAGCGGCATGGCCTAGAGGTCTAGACCATTGCTTAGCATTCGGGAGGACGCCGGTTCGATTCCGGGTCCGTCTGCCTTGGTCCAAGTTTTTCTGTGGTTTCCTTGGATCACTTAGGCAAATGCGGAGGCAGTAATATTCCACAGATAATCTTTCACTCTCTTCTGTCTTCATTTCGTCCGTCTCATCTTTCTCACCCGAACCACCACCCACCCATTCCCACGATTCCTGAAAGCAGGCTGAAGAGGGCCTTCCGCCCTACCTTCCGGCGTAGTCCGGAGGGACTGCCCGCCCACCAGCACTAGTGGCTGGTGGGAATGAAACACCCAAAAGTTTTTTTTTTTTTTTTTTAGGGGGGCGGAAGGGGCGTCCCGTCCCGTCTTTGTAGCGGGTACTTCCCCAGGAATCCCTGAATGAATAATGTGCAAATAATTTACGCTTGTATGCCTACATTTACATTCACTACATTCTATTTACGTCGAAAAATAATCATTGGCCTCATTTAAAGTATATTAAATTTCATTACGTTGATATTTAATAATTTATTAGTGTGTTCTGATATTTTCGCGAACGGATAAGCCTTTTTTCAAATTGTAAAGTAATAAACGCGTTATTATCCGTTCAAAGTAATTTCATTAAAAAGTGTAATAGTGTATTTGATTTTTGCTGCATCAGGAGCGACTGGTCAATCTAGTCGTGTTTTCAATAGAAAGAAAAATTTTAAAAGAAATCGATTTCACAGAAGTTATTGAGGAGTTCAGTAAATTGAAGGCACGAAAACACATATAACACGCTACAAAAAATAAAAAAAACCAACTAAAAAACTAAAAGCTGGGGGGCCTCGTTCAGCTTTGCTGCCCCGGATCTCTGACGGGCTTAGTCTGCCACTGATTAAAGTATACACAATAATATTACTAAGATAGAAAGGGTTTGAGTTAGGTAAAGGTGAAAATACTTTCAAATGCTATTCACCATCCGAATTTGAACGGGTTACACCTAGTCTATATAATGATTCTCTAACTTATGATGTATAATGCCATAAGCAGTTTGATTGGCTTGTGTGAAGTGCTATACATTATGTTTTCAGCTTACGTTATAGTGGTGATTCGTGCCTAGAGGCTTGTAGAAGGTTTCCCTGATTGGCGTGTATTATGCTACTGCCACCTAGAATTAAATGCAGTGCATTAAGGGCTTAGGTTAGGTTATTATGTACATGCTTTTTGTAAAGGCATATGTGAGGTACTATTTTCTAAAGACAAATGTACAGTCCAAATAATGCTACAAATATAGAAGACGTGTTAATCTCATGTACTTTTAGTTTCTAGATTTTTCATTCTTAAGTAATCATAATCATTTTGTATATTAAATACACTCTTATACCTACGCTATCACATATTCTACTGAAGGTTATCTGTTCAGAGGAAATTATTGAAAAGAACATTTTCAGTTTAGTTTTAGAACAAACGCAACAACAACGACAGAAAAAAAGACGGAACATATGGGTGGCTTTTTTTACATAGATGATGGTTGCCAACCGATGATCGAGCTTGTATCGAAAGAAAGAAATGTGATAGCGGCAACATTTATGCAATTCTTATTGAAAAATGTGGGAGGATCTGAAACATTTAAAGACAAACAGGATTTCTTTTATCACGAAGTGAGAAAATTCCATCAGAAACATTATCACGAAAAGTTAACTATCAAAGTAAACCGAGAAAAACTAATTGAAACGAGTATGAAGGCGACAAAAAACTTTTCTGTTAATGACTGGTGTAAAAATTTTGAAATTGTATTCCAAGGAGAACAAGGTAAGGAAATACTATTCAACATTGTTTTTATTATTTAGACGTGTTTAGTAGTAGATATTTAGAACGGATTATTTTTATGTTTCGCGCTACAGGGATTGACTGGGGCGGAATTAGAAGAGAATGGTTCGAATTAGTTTGTGCTCAACTTTTTGATTCTAAAAACGGCCTTTTCAAGAGTTTTCACGATGGTCAACAATCTTTAGTGCATCCAAACCCAAACAGACCTTCTCATCTTAAACTGCGACACTACGAGTTTGCGGGAAAAATCGCAGGAAAATGCCTGTACGAAAGCGCTCTCGGAGGTTCTTATAGGCAACTAGTTCGGGCAAAATTTACAAGGTCTTTCTTAGCTCAAGTTATTGGATTAAGAGTTCACTACAAAGTAAGCTTTTATAATGTGCCTTATTCTATTATATCGATAGGTATAAATATATATAGCAGTTTATACGTTCGTAAGTAAAAGTTATTTAATTTAATATTATTGTAGTATTTTGAACAAGACGATCCCGACTTGTACCTGGCAAAAATCAAATTTCTTTTGGAAAATAACATTGACAATATGGACATGGAACTGTATTTTGTTGAGGAGATATACGACTTGTCTGGACAATTGTCGCGAACCGTCGAACTTATTCCCAACGGCAGTAAATTTAGAGTGCATGATTCGTCAAAACATCAATATTTAGACGCTCTAGCTCAATTTCGATTAGCAACGAATGTCAAAGACGAAGTGGATGCGTTTCTAAAGGGGCTTAACGAACTCATTCCCGATAATCTTCTCAGTATATTTGATGAAAATGAATTAGAGGTACCCATTAAACAACTTCTCTTCTATAACTTTGCACATGTGCTAATTTTTATGCTAATAGTAACTAACTAGAAAATTTCCTGTAATTTATTAGTCAGGAAAATGATCACCAATTTTTTAATTTATATAAAATAATAAAAAAAGAAAATAATAATGAAATTTTATCAATTTCATTACAATTTTTCAATTTATTCAAAACCAGATCGATAAGTAGTCCACATTTTGCACCCGTACGGTCTGTACGTATTTTAACATACACCTTTAGCAATTCCTTTTTATTTCTTAACCGCACTGCTGTACCAACCTTCTATTGCATCTAGTTGACACTCCAAAGCTCTTGCACTTATTTTAGAGGTATCTTGTATTATACATATACACGGTGACTACCCATAGAATATTTCGGAAACTACTTCGATTTGAATTTTGAAAAAATGGACAATAGCTGGTCCTAAGGTTCATTGTTTAAACAAAAAAACGTATTTGAAAGTAGTCAAGGACCTGCTCGAAAAAACTAGAATTCAAGGCCGCATTCAATCAGCTGGTAATTAGTACCATCAGTGTTGTGCTCCTCTTATACTTTTTGTATTCTTTGTTAGATTACTAGAAGGGTGATTGAAGCTATTCCGTCAACCTCTAGTAGTAATTTGTTCTATCAACCGTGATTTCAGTCAACCGGTATGCAGTTCAATACACTATTTCAACAATATAATATTAATGGAGTAGGTCAGTATGTCTTTGTGGAATAATTGATAGAATGATGCAACATGATCCATACCGCTGTTGTACAAAACGAAATCCATTTGACAGTGTGATAGATGTTAAAGGAAGCTAGCAAGCCTAGCAGAAAATTGATTTTCTGCCGTGAGCTCATTTGTGTCAGTGGTTTCGGCAAAAAAAGTTCTTCAAACGCCATTTTTTCCTAAGGGTGATGTTTGCATCCTTGGTAGTCCAGATCTAAATTTTGGTCTTTTGACACGGAATGCAAACGCGTGACTTTTTCGCACAATCACTGTTTGTTGATGACCAGATGAAACGTTGTGTGATTTATTCGATAGATGAACGAATACTAGGTTGATTAAGCAAGTTGTTACATAATTGGAATACGTCGTTAGCCATTTTGTGGTATCGTAGCGGTGAAGTTCTTTTGGAGTAATTTGTAAAAGTTTAGTACACCAAGACATTAATGCAGTTGTTTTGCAGTGTTTGGTTTCGAATAATTGTTGTTACTGTATCAAGTAAAGAACAACTTGAACTTTGATTTGTTAAATGGTACACAATATGAATTTAATTACGTAAACACTGTTTGTAAATGTTGCTCGTGCTATAATGCTATAAAGCAACTGGGATTTGATTGTATTCTCGAACCAGGTTAATTGTGGAGAATATTGTTTTGTTTGATAATGCACGGAATAACTCTTTGTTTTATAGGCGGTAAGATTTATTTATGTTTACTTTAGACATTGTTTACTTTACACTACATGCATGTGTAGATGTTTAGTTATTGCAGTTGGTTGTATTCAGAGATCTACTGTTACACCTACGTTACCAAATCGCGCTCATAGTCGGCTTGTTATGGTTTTCTTACAATTTTTTTTGTTCCTTAATAGTACAGTCATTTGGTTCGAAAAATAGTGGTTACCGGGAGTTTTGAAAATTGGTAATTTTATAGATTTTGAGGAGCTGATTCCGAACTTCGACTTTGCCACCTCATATTTTTGCCGCTCGTGCCGCCATATTGGAAAAATGGCGCCAAAAAGCAGTTTTTTGACAATATCTCTTTTCCAACTCATTTTACGATAAAAACAGTCATATACAAAATGAAACTAGAGACAATTGCCTACAATTTATGTATCTACCTTTTTTGTCATAAAGTCAATAGTTTAGGCGTACGAGCGCCGCAAAGTGTACTCCAACAGGCATTTTGGCCAAAAAAACTCATTTCATCGCTATCCTCTTTGTTCTCGATTTGATCGTATACTTGCACAATTATAGTCTGTTTCTTCTTCTTCATCACTATCTGGTGATGAAACTTGCGAGTTACCACAGGTACCGCTACAATTCGTGCATATAATAGAACACTAACCACAAGCTTTCTGACATCCTTTTTCGCATTTGCAAGAAATGAGTTTTAACAAGCTTTCTGGAGCTGGGGACTCGAGTGTGGTGACAGGAATTAGCCCACTCTTGGTTTTTTCCACCCCCATTGCTCTGCATTTTGTTCATTCCCATACCACTGCTTATAATATCTATATTATATACATAAATGTTATATGTCNAAGTGATTGAAATAAAGGAAAAAGGATTAAATATGGAAAAACACCAAAGCGAAGAAGAATACGCTAAATTTTAGGATATCAAATTGCATGTGGATTAGGCCTATTGGGGATACCACATTAAAAAAAAATGCGCCGCTTACTCTACCTCAAGGTGGTGAGGAAATGAGTTTTTTGGCTAAAATGCGTGTTGGAGTACACTTTGCGGCGCTCGTTCTCCTAAACTGTTGACTTTATGGAAAAAAGGTAGATACATAAATTGTAAGTAATTGTCTCTAGTTTCATTTTGTATATAATTGTTTTATCGTAAAATGAGTCGGAAAGGAGACATTGTCAAAAAACTGCTTTTTGGTGCCATTTTTCCAATATGGCGGCGCGAGCGGCAAAAATACGATGTGGCAAAGTCGAAATTCGGAATGAGCACCTCAAAATCTATAAAATTACCAATTTTCAAAACTCCCGGAAAACTTTCCAAGCAAAACTACCAAATGACTGTACTATAACCAGGCTGCCGTAATCACTACAATTTCTAATTGCACTAGTTGGCACCCTCTAATTCTCTCCATTTATCTTAAAAACACTCTGCATATACAATATTATCAAACATAAAAACACAAGTACTTATTTAATCAAAACCATGATTTAATAGGTATATTTAGGTACAAACATAAAATGTTTATTGCTGGAAATATTTTTATACGCCTTTAAACTGAGGAGCTTTAGTCTTAACGGGATATATTGTTTTTCCCGCTTGACCACTTCACAGTTATCGGAATCAAAAGGAAAATGTGCAACATCAAATGCTGTATTGGTTGTGACTACTGAAATTTCGTTTATCCAAATAATGAATTATGTCTAATATTATTAGAAACACAATTTATTTATTATAACGCTTGTGTACTATAATGTCCGAAGATACCACTTATTTTACTTCACTGTAGTTCGGATATTCTGCAAATGCGCGAGCATAATTCAAAGACGAAAGGAGAAAACTTCCCCCATTTGATCCTCTTCCAGCTGCAAACCTTTCGCTAGCTCGTTCGGAGTTTTGTGTTCTGCATGCGTATATTGCTGTGTTGGAAGCATTTTATTTCATGTAAGTACCCCTTTGTACTGAACATGCTATTACTCTAGATTCTAGAAGACTCCCATCTTCTAGTTGCGTTTCCAAGAGCAAAAAATTCTTCTAAAACGCTTAAAAGTTTAATTCGGGAAGTGAAACGGGTGTAACCAGTCACACTGCTATAGTATAAAATCGATAGATGATCGTCATGCTCGGCACCGCAGTCGATCTGGGATGCATTCTCGTTCGGCGTTTTCTAAACAGCGCGGCGATACAAAGGGAATTGATCAAATTTGTACCTCGATATACCCCTCTTTCGCATCACGAATCCCTTCGATACACCACCACCGAGCGAGCGCATTTGTATCGGCCCATTACCAGAAGCGGCCGAACGTGCGATAGCATAAACTCTATGCCATAGAGCATAGCTCATTCTCAGGGCGGAAACATAAAAATAATGATGTTTTATATCTTCAGGCGGATTTTGATTTACCTGATGATTAGTTAATGTTGTTTATAAAAAGGCCGAGGAAAAACTGATTAAGAAAATACATTTACAATCCGCCAGAAATTAGTTTCTTGTTGGCATTATCTCGTCTCGAATGGTTTGTCGACAGACAGTGACTTTTTGGTATCACGTGTTTTCAAACCCGGAATAAATTCCATTATGTTAACAGGATATAAAAATCAGGACGCTTGATATGTTGATTGTCAGGAACGTTTAAGCAAAATACTCGCTGTTTTAAAAAACATTTTTTATCTATCACACGACGTAGTTTAGTTTTGCCTATTTTAAACAAGTCTCTTAAAAATAAATTGGTAAATGTCCTCTTTCAGATTTTTTATTCGGGCCAAACCTGTCCAAATGGATAAATGTTATCCGTTATCTGCTCTACAATTAATTCAGCCGATTGAAACATAGCTTTCAGACGAGGCAGATAGACTTATGATCAACACAATTGGCGGATTGTTATGCCAAGGGGAAATTCTCCAATGCTGCTCACATCTTGAGCAAACCCTCTCCCGAATCTTTTTAGCGACAAACTTAACGGCAAGAAACGTTTCATCTTAAATACGAACTATCTCAATAATCTCCTCATTTTAAAATGGGGAACGTATGTACAGTATTACGAATGACACGAAAAAGTGCTTTTTTGAAATCGATCGATTTATAGGATGCTTATTTCTTATTGCCCGTAAAAGTCATGAGAAGTTTCGTTATAAAGACATATTGTATGTTTTATGCGTTTACAAAACTGCTGAAACCAGTGGTCCAGAAACTTCGTTTTAAAGGCTATTCTGTTAACTCTTTAGACGATTTTCTTTTTTTTTTTGAAGATACGAAGGCAGAATGTGTTAACACACATGTCGAACGGTTTCATCACATAAATTTTATGGAATTTGGGGTAATTTTTTTGGGCTGAACTTTGTCCTACAATGTAAAATGCTTGGTCCATACTTCCCTCAGTTACTTTCATGTTACACGGGCACTTCGGCCACTGCGAATTATTGAAAAAACGTCATAGCCGCGACAAAACAAAGCTTAATTCGTTGGATAAGAGAAACCTTAAAATTAGCAAGGGTGGACACTAGATTGTTTCATTGATTGATTGATTGATTCAGCACAAAATGCCTCTACTTCGGTGACGTTCGGAATGTCCTTTCCATAGAGACCATCAGGGAATCTACAGACTGGCTCGATTATTCCACCTTTGCCAAGTGTTACAATTGCCCAATAGTGAACAGAAATCAATTTTGTGTTGCATTCAATTTTTAGTTAATTTCCGTTACTTTAGTAGAGTTTTGTATTGCTTATGAATTTAAATATATTCGCTTTACTTCTACTTCATTCTACTCTCATTAAATTTGTGTGATGCAGATTCCTTCTTCTTTAAACATCTATAGGGTATTAAAATGTGTGATGTATTTGGACTAGACACCGAAACATAGTTTAACGATTAAATGAACTTAATTAACTATGTGAGGTGCCTAGTCCGATGATATCGCTTCACGCCCTTACTCTTTTTCTTCCCAGGAGTTGTGATTAAATTCCGTGTCTATAGACTGGAATGAGCTAGTTAAAGGACTGCAGCTGGAAGAAGATCTAATGGGGGGAGTTTTCTCCTTTGATCTTTGAAATATGCACACTCGCTTACAGAATGCCGGGACTTTGAGATAGTAAAGTAAGTGATATATTCGGACTAGACACGTCACATAATTACGATAAAATATCAGGTAAGTTCATTTGAGCATTATTATTGCATCATTTTGCACTTTGATCCAATTTACTACATTGTTTACATGGCATAGCGTTTAGATCGTTACAGCACTTACACACTTGGTGATCCATAAGCTTATTCACGAATAAATTAAATTATGACATTTTTTAGATTAGTCCTTGTTGTAAAAGAACGAAATACTGTGCATTTTCTTGTTTCTATTATTTCTTTAAAAAATATTTACTACAGGGACCACTGCTTTTCTGACAAACAATTTATAATTTTATTTAATGTATTGTAAGATTCGTCCATATTGTAGATAATTGTAGAATTTGGTTTCACTTGTTTGTTTACAATCGTTTTTTTTTTGGGAAAAGGTTTTTTCCTACAATTCGTTATTTAAATTCGTTTTCACTTTTAAGACTACGGACTATTACTATATTATCACCATATTACTGTCAAAACAATCAAACTCGTCCAGTCTATCTTCGAAATGCTTGTTTTACGGTGGTAATTCAGAATCTGTTCCAATGTATCTTTGTATTTTTGATTCAAAATCTCAGCTTTCTTCAATTTTGTTTGCCTTAATATTACGATCCTTCAATACTTACTCAACATGCTCTTATTTTTCCTGGTACTGTTGGAAGTTAGATTTGATTACGTTTGTGCTTGACATACCCGTCAAATTAGCAGCTTTAGCTGTATTTGCCAGTGAATTTCTGTTTTGACATCGCTCTTTTGTTTTTCTTCAGCTTTTTGTTTGTTCCCCTGAAGGTAAGTTCATTTAAAATCAATATCATTTTACCAATATCAGTTACATCACTATCTGTAGATGTAGATTCCGGTGTACTGAAAACTAGCCGTGGATTTAGTAGAACAAACTCCGCTGGTATTTGCGATTGGTTCATACAGCAGGCCTACTATCATTTTCCATTCTTTTAATTTGTTTTAAAAGATTCTTTGTATATATTATGTCTATAGGACCAATGCACATTTCACGCTTGCTTCTTTGATCATTTATGAAAGGCAATTCTGCTTCGGGTATCTTTTTTCCTTATTGCATTGAGACTAGGACACTTGCAGGAATTGTCACTATCACAAGACATCATTTATAATGCAAGTGTAATGTCAGTGGAGTAGAACAGAATAGAATAGAGTATTTGTTTTGTTTATGAAATTACGGGGGCGAGACTAAAATACAAATATTGTTATAAAAACCAATTTTTTTTCATGCAATAAGATAATGAATTTTTTTTGCTACTCCGGCTTACAGTTGTTCACCCATAACAGTCGTAGACCAAAAAATTTTGTTTTTGTACGCAACTGTACCTAACACACGTAAACTTTAAATATATGTGTTGGAGGCAGGTGGCGAATTCGGCCCGTGGCCGAAATAATTGGACATATCGCCATATGTCCATACTGGATATGTCAGTTGCCGAAACAGTGATACAATACCACAATGGTAAAGACAATAGCACTGTACAAAACCATGTGAAGAATTAAATTCTTTTACTGCAATAGTTCACAAACTGTTGCATTGCTGAATTAGTTTATTGAACTGCACAAGGTTGAACGTTATAAGAATAAATTGCAACTAGGGGTTGGCTGTTAATATAAAAACCCTGAATCACACTAAGAAATAAACAATATATGAGCAAAAACATACAAAACAAATACCACAGTAATACTAGTAATCACCAACTGATTGAATGCAGCACATTGCAGGTCATATTTATGAACCAGGATCAAAATTGAATTTACCAGCACTTCAACTACGTTTTTCTCGAAAACGATGAAGATTGGGACTTACAAATGGTTACGTAATTTTCATGTTTTATAGCAGATATACGTATAGCCAAGCATATCTAAACATATACACACATATTTAAGCATATATGAGTATAAATAGTTATAAAGACTGGAGGATAACAATAAAAGTAATTTTGTTTATAATAAACAAATTGTTCTCCTCTTTCGAAACTAAAATTTTGTTGGAATTTTGAATTATGCAAAATTATGTTAAGTTACTTTTGGCCATTTTTAAAACAAAAAAAAAACAAGAAAAATTCTTCCTTAAAAACAGTTTTCAAATTTTTCAAAAATGCAAAATGATGATAAACATTATTTTGGCTGACTTCAAAAAGTACTAAAGCACTTTGTAATACCTCATGTCTAGTAGTTTGTAATATAGTCGTAATGATTGAACACCGGGTTAACTGAACTTAAGCAGCATCGATGCGGCTTAAAACTTGGTTAGGGTGACCGCGTTTATAAGACTGGTTGAATGGTTGACTTCGCATTTCCGTAAAATTAGAACATAGAATATGTTTAAATTTAATTGGATCTGCTTAAATCCGTTTGAATCGCCCAAAATTTGAATACAACTGTTTGGATCTAATTATATATGCTTGGATACAAACGTTTTTTCTCGAGTATTTAATTAGTTGTTAGGGGGTAATCTGTACTGGTTTATCCACATTATTCACATACCCAAAGTATTAGTTCGTAGTGAGTCGATTTAAATTAAAAAAATTGGTCTGAGCACACTTTGGTCGGTGCTAATACGACTAACTTCCCATTAGATAATACAGTTATTGTAAAGTACATTCGTTTCTAAAGTTTGAAAAAAACGCGGCACAATAATAAATAACAAACAATGTTTGAGAGTTCGTCATTTTATAAACCCATAAGAAACAGTATTTCGTCTGAGAAAACCGAATTGATAGAGTACTTGCATCAGTCAATTGGTAAATACTATTTTTTATTGTTTATCGATTGTTTATAACAATTCATTTTGTTATAAACAAATTTTTATTATAATATGTTATTATAATATGTTATTCCCTGTCTTGAATAATGATATTTCGTTATTATTGATTCCGTAACTTCATTGTTGTGATTAGATTAGAACGTATTTTAATTAAATTGTTTGTAATTAATTCGTTTTTTTTTTTATAAAAAAAAAACGGCTTGACCGATTTCGTTCAAATTTCTTTCAGATCTTCATTATGATAATATCTTTCGAAAAAATTTTGGTTGAGGGCGATATCTCAATCCGTTCTTGAGATATCGAAAACGAAAAAAATGCTGACATACGAACGTACGTACATACGTACGTACGTACGTACGTACGTACGTACGTACATACACACATCATCAAAAAAATTGGCTAGCATGCTACTAATATGTTAAAACGTGGAAATATAATGAAAATTCCGATTTCACTTTTCGACCCAATTACAATAACTTCCTAATGGGAAGTTAAAAATGTGGTAAAAGAATAAATAAACTAAAAAGAAGACTCACTCTATACACAGTTAATGTATTATTAAAATTCTTTGTTAAATCCTCTGCTATCTTTGTGAACGAATAATTTAAAATCTTTTTCATCGATCTTTAATGATAACGTAATTTCTTATAGACAAAATATAATAATGCAAACATATTTTATTAGGAATATGTCACCTTTAACACCCTGTATCTTTTTCCACAGCAACATTTAATTAAGGTATGTTATTTGGTCCAACCTCCATATTTTGTTCCACTTCCTCTAAGTTCCAATAGTTATGACTCGCCGTGTATAATTTTAATATACACGAACCCACATAATACATCACTTGGTTTGAAAAATAAAACTTATTATTTATAACTAGATGTGTACATTTTAGTACCTTTATCGTGTTTTTTAACTTAAATATTGTCAGTTAAGTTTTTATCCAAGGATTCTGGTTCTTTCAATTTGGTTTTATTTTTGATTTCAGTTACTCTTGTGTGGTACCGGTCAGTATTCAATATCCGATTTTAAATCTCATCATGTAGTTAACGGAAACTCTTTAGAGTTTCGGCGTATTATAGGATGGTTTTGGGCAGCCGTTAGTAATTTTACGCAAGAAGAAATGGCTCGACTTCTTCAATTTACAACAGGATGTTCCCAACTACCTCCAGGCGGTTTCAAAGAACTTAGTCCGAAATTTCAAATAACTGCAGCACCAACTTTCGGCAATTTGCCAACCGCGCATACATGGTAATTTATTTTTTGGAATCTTTCACATCAGTAAATTATTTGATTTTTTACAGCTTCAATCAGTTGTGCCTGCCTGATTACGAAAGTTACGAGCAATTTGAGAAAGCACTTCTGTTAGCAATCAGCGAGGGTACTGAAGGATTCGGAATGGTTTGAAAAGAAAAAGAAACCTTTGTTGAATAGTACATATTATAAGCAGCAGGGTAGTTTTCCAACGCGGCTGCTATACACTAATTTACTCCATATGCAATAATAAAGTGGCTTATTATACGTCTTCTTATATACATGTATAAATGTATATAAACATGTATATATGTACCTACGTTTAAATGCTAGGTAGTAGGATAGTGTAACAGTATTATAATGATTAATTTTTATTACAGAATGGATAAGTTTTGCACCTTATCGTTACGTTTGTCAATGCAATGGGCACTTAAATTCATTGTGTAATAACAACTCACAAATCCACAAGTGATTCCTTTTAGATACTTACTATTAGATGAAGTAAATAAAGTATAAATAGAATCACCCTGGTTATAATATCACAAAACCTTTTCCCTACCAACACATGTTTTACCGAGTTACAATGTGGCGTTAACAACGTGAGACTGGTTCTGGAATAATAAAATTTACTGCAACTACTCGAAGCTTCAGAGTTTTATTGATACCTAATTGTTGAAACCAAATCGGAACATTCGAAAAGCAGGGAAGTTAAAAAAAATATGAGAAATAATTAGGAAAGGAATTCAGTGTAAAGGTAGTATGTGTTCTCAATAGCCGTTAAAGGTTAGAAAGGCTTACAAGCCAAGTTACATCATTAATACATATTTCACTAATCACACACTTAATCAGGGAAAATAAGGAAATAAGTTCAGGAAGGCTTACGGGGCCAAAATCAACTTCAACAACAACAAAAGTACTTCTGCTTCATAAATAGAATGCCTGTCAGAATAGCTAGAAATATATATCAACTAAACCTTTTGGCAAAAGTTAGAAGACGGAGTTAGGAATGGACCCAAACTCTGAATTCATGAGATAATTTTTATTGTTTTGAATATGTAAACATTTCCAAACATCAAATTCTGATTCTTAATTTTTAAAATATGATGGACTACACTTGACTTCTCAATATGTTATAAATATTAATATTAATAAGGTTTTAAATATTATCTTCACCTATATTACGTTTGTCTAACATATGTATATCGCAATTATCATTATCTAATTTATATTTAGTGTTTTCTAATTGTTAAGTTTTGTTTTTTTTTTGAAAATCCTAGTAAAATTAAAGAATTTTTATTTGGAAGTGGGGTCGACCATATTTTCTGCCATAAAAAATCGAAATATATTGAATTTTTTTTTGAGTCGTTAAAAACCGTATAACAAAACGCAAGTGGCAGCTAAACGTAGTGGTGTCTATGGTTAAGTATGGTGTTTTATTTATAGTCAGATTTACCTGAAACTTTACTTTAATGCTTTTTCATATAAAATTAGTGACATACATACCTATTTGAACATTTTACAAAATTCTACCTCTTTAGGAAGCTGAAAGGGATTAGCAAAGATTGCATGTTTGTTTTTGGTTCGATTTACTTGAAACTGGTTAAAAAATTAATCTCTGTTGAGGGTGGGATGAACGGTGAAGAGGAGTTGCAATGTTTAAATGGAACATATATTATTTGTGGGCAGATTTACTTGAAACTTGGTGTCTTAATGGTCTTTCATTTAATTTCTGAAAGACCTATCTCGACATT